CTTTTTTTCTTTTTCTTTTTTTTTTTTTTTTTTCTGGGCCAGCTTTAGCTTTGAGGCTCCAGCTCTTAGGCCTCCGCTCCTGAAAGAGGTATCTGGTTTGTTTCGGTTCTATAATCGAAACTCTGTATCAACTCCAGCTCTGAGATCCCAGCCGGCTGAAAGCAGGTTTCTGGGGTTTTGTTTAGTTTCTATATTTGTTACAATGTTTCTTAAACTGCAAGCTCAGAGGCAGGCAAGGCAGGTGTGGGGAACATGAGGCCTGCATCACTGAAGCAAGCAAGCCTCATGTTAGTTTCAAGGTGCTTGGCTGCCGGCTGCCATCTTGGCTGGCAGTTAATTTGCATATTGCCCTAATTAGCCAATGGGAAGGGTAGCGGTTGTATGCCAATTACCATGTTTCTCTTTTATTAGATAGGATATCTACAAGGACCTTATTTCTCTTTCCCATCTTGAAAAATGGCAGGGGGGAGAGGAGGAGGACTGAGAAGCTAGATACTAAGGAGATAAAACCTGAAACCAAGAAGGTTGATGCTGGTGGCAAGGTTAAGAAGGGTAACCTCAGGGCCAAGACACCTAAGAAGGGGACACTCCACTGCAGCCGAAACCCTGTCCTAGTCAAAGGAATCGGTAGGTATTCCTGGTCGGCTATGTATTCCCAAGAGGCAATATAAAAGAGGAAGGATTCAGCATCTAAATCCAGGATTTGAAAGAAAAAGGAGAAAGTTCTTGCTGCTGTCCCCAAACCAGTAGGTGGCGACAAGCATGGTGGTACCCAATTTCACCAAACGCCTAGATATTATCCTGCTGAGGATGAGCCTGGAAAGGTATTGAGCCATGGCAAGATATCCCTCAGTCAGCTTGTGAGAAAACTGCGGGCCAGCATCAGTCCCAGGACCATTCTGATCATCCTCACTGGGTGTCACAGAGGCAAGCGGGTGGTTTTCCTGAAACAGCTGAGCAGTGGCCTGCTACTTGTGCCTGGACCCCTATCCATTAATTGTGTTCCTCCGCATAGAACACACCAAAAATGTATCATTGCCACCTCCACCAGAATTTATATTAGTGTGTGAGAATCCCCAAACATCAGTGAAAGTTGATGCTTACGCCAAGAAGCAGCTATGCAAGCTTCACCCTGACACCAGGAGGGTGAGCTCTTTCCCATAGAGAAAGAGAAATTCAAGATTATAGAGCAACACATTGTGGATCAAATGAACTCACTAATTCTGCCAAAAGTCAATGCTATTCCTCAGCTCCAGGGCTAGCTCCACTCTGTGTTTGCTTTCACAAATGGGCTCTATCCTCACAAACTGGTGTTCTAAATTTCTCACAAAGGACCTAATTAAATAACTGATCTATTTAAAAATAAAAAATAAATACCCACAAAAATAAGAAGCTGAAGAGAAGAAAAAGGAAACTATTAAGTCCTCTTATTTTTCAGTTTGAGTCTTGTCCCCAGGAAAGACTGAAGTTATATAAAGACTTAATAAGTGAGCTTTCTGAAGATGGCAGGTAGGTAAATGCTGGTACTCCTTGCCTCCCACAACCACATCAAAATTACAACTAACATACAGAACAACCATAATTCAGAACCACCTGAAAGCTGGCTGAATGGAAGTCCTACAACTAGAGAAGTAAAGAAGAAAGCACGTTGAGACTGGTAGGAGGGGTGGAGGCACAGAATGGGCTGGTCCAGAGCCCACTTTGGGCATTTTTTTAATCCAGAGGGAAATTGTCCCTGTGGAGGCCGCCTTAAGGAGCAAGGCGTCCGAGCCCCATACCAGACCCCCCACCCAGGGTCCCAGAGCTGAGAAGAGAAGTCCCCATAATTTCAGGCTGTAAAATACAACAGGGATTGTGGCTGAGGAACATGGAGGCTGCTGGAGACCCAGCTGTACCTATTAAAGGGCCAGGCATGAACTTACTCTGACTCACTTCTTCTGAGGTCCAGCACCAGGAGGCATTGGGGGACCCAGACACATACAGGGAGGAATTATCTGGCATCAGGGCAGGAACTTGGAGGTGGCATTCTACCAGAAGGAGGTGTTCTCAGCGGTCATTGTTCCTGTGCTGAGACCTCCCCTGTTGCAGGGCTGACTGGCAACCATATCTGAATCCCCATCAACCTGAAACACACTGTTTGCTCTGCCCTGGTAATTCCCTGAAGCCCTGCCCCATCCAATTTGCAGCCTCACCGAAGCTATTTGTAGCAGCTTTTCCATATGAATGGCCTGTCCAGGCTCAGGCTTCAGATTTTGCTAAAATGTCTCAAACAAGCTGCAGCTACTGTCAGCATGCCCCAAACCCAGCATTAAAAGGCCCAAGACTCTGCACCAGCACCAGCCTGCCTTGCTTCACAGTTGGGCCTTGCCTGGGCACTTCCAAACCCAATACAAATAGGAGGAAGCTGCAGATATCTCTGTAGCTCCTGCCAAGTGGCCCCAAGCAGTGGCTGACTTTGCACCTCCCTGGAGGCACAATAGCCAGTGTACCTGGTGGACAGCTTAAGACCATTCCAAGTTATAACTCTACACATTCATAAGCAACACACTCAAGGGACAGACTCAGTGAGCACCATAGCTCCACTAAAGAAAGTCCAGTGCCCATATTACTGTCAGCTGATTTCTCAACAGAAACTATGCAGGCCAGAAAGGAATGGCAAGAAATATTCAAAGTGATGAACAGCAAGGACCTGCAACCAAGATTGCTCTACCCAGCAAAGGATCATTTAGAATTGAATGTCAGATAAAGAGCTTCACAAGCAAGAACAAGCTAAAGGAGTTCATCACCACCAAACCAGTATTACATGAAATGTTTAAGGGAATTCTTTAAGAAGAGGAAGAAGAAGAAAAGGAACAAAAAAATATGAACAATAAAATGGCAATAAATACCTATCTATCAACAATTGAATCTAAGAATCAAAATAAACAAGTAAGAAATCTAAAAAACAGAATAAACTGATGAATAAGATAGAGTCAGAGGCATGGAAGCATAGAACAGACTGATGATTCTCAGAGGAAGGGGGTAGGGAGAAGAGATTAAACAAAGATCTTATATTTATTACCTGTGGACACACAAGACAGTAGGGTGATGAAGGCCTAGGGCAGGGCAGGACCAGGGGAGGGAAGAAATAGGGGGAGAGGGAGGAGAGAGACATTTGTAATACTCTCAAAAATAAAGATTTAAAAAAGAGTTAAAGACTTATTAATTACTAGAGGCCCGGTGCACAAAAATTTGTGCACTCGGAGGAGGGGGTCCCTCAGCCTGGCCTGTGTCCCTTCGCAGTCTGGGACCCCTCAGGGGATGTCCACCTGCTGGCTTAGTTGTGCTCCTCTAGGGATTGGGCCTAAGCTGGCAGTCATACATCCCTCTGGCAGCCTGGGAGCCCTTGGGGGATGTCCACTTGCCAGCAGGGAGCAAGCCTTCAGTCGTACATCCTTAACACTGGTGAGGAGGTGGGAAAGGCTCCCGCCACCATGGCTGTGCTGGTAGCTGTCAGCCTGTTCTGTGGCTGAGCAGAGCTCCCTCTGTGGGAGTGCACTGACCACCAGGGGACAGCTCTTGCAATGAATGTCTGCCCCCTGGTGGTCAGTGTGTTTCATAGTGACCAGCCATTCCCAGTCGCTCTGCTGTTAGGGTCAATTTGCATATTACCCTTTATTTTATAGGTAATAGCCAAAAATTACTCTTAACACTTATTTTGTGGCAGGTACTGTTCTAAGCATATTATGTACATTAACTGTTTCCATCCTCACAACAGCTAAATACGGCTGATACAATTTTATTTCTTCTTCTTCTCCTTCTCCTCCTTCTCCTTCTCCTTCTCCTTCTCCTCCTTCTCCTTCTCCTTCTCCTTCATTATTTCTGATTTATAATGAGCAAACTGAACCCAAAAGGGCTAATTCCCACCCCCCATGTCAAATAGCATATATAAGATGGAATAAAACTTAATTATTTTTCATTAAAAATATTATTGATTTTTTATCCTGTTTCAGGCACTCTTCTTTGTACTGGAGATACAACAGTACAAGACAAAGTCTCTGTATATGTGCAGAATGTTAGATAGCAATGTTCTATAACAGTGGTCGGCAAACTCATTAGTCAACAGAGCCAAATATCAACAGTACTTCTTCAAAATAGACTCTCCCAGGCCGAAAACCTACTTCTGCTCATGAACCATGAAGTTTCAATCACACTGTACGTGCGCGCCCGCACGTGGTATTTTGTGGAAGAGCCACACTCAAGGGGCCAAAGAGCCGCATGTGGCTCACGAGCCACAGTTTGCCGACCACAGTTTATAATACACAGCAAAGTAGGTAAGGGGGAAAAACGGGTGCCTAGATTGGGGAAGAGTGGTGTTTACAATTATATACAGAGTAACCGAAGAAGGTCTTTCTAATAAAAGCAGAGCCATGAGGGAAGTGAGCCAACCAGATACAGTGACCTTGGGGAAAAGTATTCCAGGGAGTTGGGATAGCAAATGCAGATTCCTTCAGGTAGGAGCATTCTTTGTACATTGAAACAAGAACTGCATGGCAAGAACCCAGTTAGTAAGAGAAAAAAGAGTGGTAGAAAAAGAAGTGCCAAACCCTATGAGAACTTCTAGTTAACATAAGCACTTTGTTTTTTTAACTCCTTAAAATGAAAACTATGGTAGGAATTCAAGAAGAGGGTTTTGAAACATAATTTCACTTCTATGCTAACAATCACATAGGCTGCGTTGTTGAAAATAGACAATGGGGCAAGAGAAAAAGAAGAAAGACTATTTAGGAAGCTATTTTAATAATCCAGATTAGAGATGTGGCTTGAATCTAGATGGTAGTGGTAGAGGTAGTTGATGATAATTCAAGAGGTTGAATTCTAATTTCAAGGCAGAAACAACAGAATTTTCTGCAGAATTATGTGTCTTAATATGTATAATTTAATGTATTTGGTGATTATTTCTGGTTGACTAATGTCCATATATAAAGCAAGAGCAGAAGGCCAGGGATTGATGAACTATGTCAATTATCTAATGACTAAGAATAACAGTATTATAGAACCATATCTTAGAGGGTGAGCATAGGTAAACAGAAGGTGTATAGGCTGTTATGGGGTTCTAGAATGGCCCAAGTATACCAAAACCGCATGAGAAAATGAAATAATCTCTAGAGCAATACAATAACAATATGCACATCCTAAAATTTAAAAAAGAAAAAGCCATTGTCAGTAATTTTACGTATAACAACTATTCAGTTTGCTGCCATAACATTTTAAAACTTAAACACCCTTTTTTTATAAACACTTTATATCAGGGTTTATTACAATATTTTTTTTTACTTCTCAATTGTTTGGCATTGTCTTTTTCTCAGGTTCAATGTGAAGAAGTTTTCTGTCTTAAAAACATCAGAAACACTGAGTAGTAGATTAGCTGAAGAACATCCAGAGAGTTTCATTTATATGAACATAAATGGTAATGTTTTACAGTGCTTAGACTGTAGTGGAGTTTGAGGTTTCATACCAGGCAGAGAAAACCTGGGTAAACTATTAATAGTTTAGTATCTCATTTCCTGTGGGAATGTGGCTTCCACTTGAAGAGGAGAATATTATAGTCTTACTTAATATAAAATTCATATATTGTAGAAGAGATG